ATTCAATGGGGCCTCTACTTTTCATAAGGGGCTTATAGGTGTGTGTCATTAGGTTTAGGGTTTAGGGGTTTAGGGTTTAGGGTTTAGGGTTTAGGGTTTAGTTTTTAGGGTTAGGGTTTTCGGTTCAGAGCTTCGGGGTGAGGGCCTGGGCTTGTTTAGTCTTCTCACAAGGAGATTTTGGGGGAGCTATAGAGCTTAATCTTTCGGGATTGGATGTGGGATTCTGGTACTTCTTCCAAGAAGGTGAATGGATACTTACTCTGCTACTAAGAGAGGCTTGAGATGTTTGATCCGGGTCTCAGGATGCAAGGAGTCAGGTCAGTGGCTCCTGATGGGGGTTGCGGGTCTATGTTTGATGGTTGAGGGCTTTAGGGTCTGTCGGACCTACTTCTGGCCCGGGAACTAAAGTGGCTGTCTTGTCCGTCAGTCTAGGATTCGGTGTTTGGAGCCGGTGTTTGGAGCGACACGCCTTCAGTAGCGAACCCAAACCCCAAATCGTGTGCGGGGGCCTTAGAGGGCTCCGGGTTTCGAGTGTCGGATCTCGGATTTCAGGGGCTTCAGGGTGTTCAAGGCTTTGGGATTTGTTCATCTTCCGGGCTGTGAGGTTGAGAGTTGGGGGCTTTGGCTCCGGACCGCATTTGCAGTTCGCAAGCCAGTGCAAAAGGCTTGGCTGGGCAGTATGGTCTAAAAACATGCCTGGGTTTGTCCACGGGTCAAAATTTCGTTGAGCATGTTGTTTCCCTTTGATTGCTGAATTGCTTGCTGTGTGCCGGCGTAGCACCTCACACATACGGCTAAGAGGGAGGCTTCGAGCTCTTGTTGCTAGTTTAGGGTTTAGGGCTACTAGCATGAAGAAGTCTGGGGTTGAGATGTTGGCATCGGAAGGAGAACGCAGAGCCTGCAAGATTAGCACATAAGCAAAGGTCGAGACTGCACCGTTTGGAGTTTAGGCTGTGGGCGTCCAAGGAGTTGATTCGAGCTGGCTCCAAAATCCATTCTGTTTCTAGCCAGATTCACCATAACAGCTTCGAACCCTGGCGCTCCTATAGAATATATATATATATATATAAGCCTGCTAGCTGAAGTGTGCACTTGAAGAACCGACGCTTCACAAGGGAGTGCCGGATCTGTAGACATGAGGCGCCAACTAATTTGGAGAGCTGCGCTTGCTTTTGGGTTCTTTTCGATGGCTCAAGTCAGGGCGGGCTGCGAAGCCACAGAATGCAATCAATTTGCGGCTGCAGAGCAGGGTGAACCGGCATTCTCACTAGACTAGGTATTCATCGACCCCAGGTACCACGGTCATAAGTTATAACCTGAAAAGGCTCTCAAAGCTCCGCACAGTAAAACACCAAACCCCAAACCAGAAGCCCTAAAGATCCTGCAGTACCGGACAGCGCAAACCGCAAAGCCCACGTTATCTGCATGGAAGCCCAAAAGACACCTGCCAATGCATGCGGAACATGAAGGAGGTTACAAGTTAAGAGTTTGGGATGTCGGTTTGAATGGTTCTAGAGCTTGCACTTGCATTCACTCTCCTGAAGCTTGGCATGGCGAGTTCGACCATCAACTCATGGTTTGCCTACCTCGGCACTGCTGCCGGATTCTGCGCACCTCCGCAAAGCAACCTGATTACTGGCACCCTGGTATGCCGGGCAAGCCGATGGCGGCTGAAACTTGCGACTTCGGATCAACAGTCGTCACCAGCACGGAACACTTAACCCTCAACTCTAAAACTATAACCGAAGAACCCCCAAGCCCTAAACTTAGTAGAATCCAAAACAGAAACCTCTCAGTGCAAACTAGCAGGCCTTAATCAACCTTGAATCCACAAGGCAGACAAGACTTAAAACTTTACTCCCGAAGCCCCTATACACCCTTGAAACTTGAAACCTAAGCTTCACCCAACCAACACTTCGACTGCATTGCGAACAAGCCAGTCACAGGAGCAGATTCGCAGTGCTGCCCTCCGCTGGAACACAGGCTGCCGTTGAAATCGGGCCTGCAACGGGCGTGCTATTGTTGACGCTTTCGGGCTAGGTCTGGAAGGCTTAGGCTTGGCATGTAGGTTTCGAGGTTCAGGTTTGCCGCGTTCTGGTTGAAGAAGTCTTGGGTAATTTAAGCTACCACAAAAAGCAAACAGTAGTATTCCCCATAGGCCCCTACATTCTGATATCTTATAAATTAAAACTCATAAACTCATTACTATTTCTTATAGACCCCTATAGTCTGATATCTTATAAGTTAAAACTAACAGATAAAACTCATTAACAAGAACTCAGGTACTATTAATTTTATTTGGATTCGCAAGTTTCGAGGCGACGGCTCGCCGATCTTGCTTTGGCTGGTGGCCACGAGTTAGAAGCCGAAAAGCCTCATGATAGTTACGAGTACCACTGGTTTAGGGTTTAGGGTCGCTGACATTATCATTCTTGCTTATTCTCTTCCCTGTTTTTGTATGGCTTTTTATGACGAGGAATGCCTCCGCAACCTGCCACCCATCACACCCGAGAGCAGACACCCTGGAGAAGGAATGGAGAATTGCTCATTACGCGACTTAAAACGGGACACATGATATGTCCGGAGCATAAAGCTATGCAGCACAGCGCCGATACTCGGGCTAGATATGGACTTCTTGATCCTTCGTTGAACTGAGGAGGGAGGTACCTAGAGCAAGCAAGGGCTAACCCCACACCTCACATCCTATACCTCCCCCTACGCTTTCACCCCATTTCTCAACCCGCCTAACAAATCAACCCTTAAATCCCGCAATACGCAAAGCGCCTCCCAAAATCCACAAAATAATCCCGAAAAACAAAGCAACCCACCAAACCAATGCAATTGTCCATGACACAACCCAAAACCCAAAGCGCCTAAACAATACTTAACCTTATCCATTCTATATCCAATATTAATATGAGGTGTGGGGTAAGAGCCTAATAGAAGAACCCACAGCCCATAACCGAAATGATGAACCCCCCCCCCCCACAGTTTTGACGTTTCGCGAGTCTGCTGACACAGCGACCTTACCAAAATACGTAACCCAAAACCACCGCAATCCTAACCTCAACCAGAAGGGACTACCGAGAAGTTCTGCAGGAAACACCTAGAAACGTTGTATGGCACCATCTACACCGAAAGCCCATTCTATTTATTGGGGCCCTTATATTACGTGTGTAAAAACCACTTCTGCCTGAAAAACACCAGAAACTTTGTCTTGGTCAGGCTTTGCTGGCAGTTTTCCTGGCTGCTGAGCGGAGGGTTGGGTGGTGGGGAGCGCGAGGAGCGACATGGAGTTTAGGGAGCTTTGATTTGGGTTTAGGGCTTCGGGCTTAGGAACCCTAAACCCTAAACCCTAAAAACCCTAACCCCTAAAACCTATCTCTTATAGGGTTTAGGGTTGCTTTGACTCCAGGATTGGCATAGTCAGAGTTATTTTGCGTGTCTAGGCGTTGCAACTTTTTATGATGACGTGGCTAAAGTTCAATCCTTTTGAAGCTGTGAGTGCATAGAGTTGTGTTATCATTGCAACTGCTGCTGAAAATCGGAAACTGCTTACACTGTAAACCCTAAACCCGAAAAGCCCTAAACTTCCCAAACCCTAGCGGTGTTGTGAGCTAGAGAAGACGCACTCGAGGCTTGGATGAAAAAGACATCGATGGCTCCAGCTCTTGTACGTAGCACGCGAAATCGGATGTTCTTCTACGCAGGCTTTTTACAGCCTTTGGAACACATTCGACTCGTAAACAAGATCCTCTCAGGCCCAAACAAGGGAAAATATGACCTTCCCAAAGGCTCCCAAAGTTCGCGCTCGGAAATCTCGGAACTGCGAACTGGGATGCATGTGTGAGTTGCTCTCTGTGCAATGAAGACCCAGGGCATTCATTGGAGCGCTGCTGTTGGCAAAGTCAGCATCCAACGGCCGCGAGGATAAGTGCCACTGTTGCCTTGGAATTCTTGCCGGCAGAAAGAGAAACACCCATCTCGGATGCTTTCGCAAGCATCTCGCTTTTTGTCATAAAATCTCCGTCAAGTGCTGAGCCACCGCATCAGCGTCAAAAAACACGGTCTGCGCCAGGGTCTGACGGCCCATATTCGGCCCAAGCCTGCCAGAAGTAGCATCCCCCCAGCTGTTGCCGCCACGGTTTACGGTTTAGGGTTTAGGGTTTAGGGTTTAGGGTTTAGGGTCACTAGAACCTTGGGCGACCGTGTTCCCCACGATTTTATCTGATTCTAGGGCTATCACACCAACAGAAGAGGCAAAGAGGATACATGCACTCGCGAAAACCCCTACGCCTTTACGCACGAACTCCAGGGACTGGATGCCTGCTTTCTTACTCTCAGGTATTGGCTGCCCGGCGACCGCTTTAAAACTCCAGGTCAGTGGCCATGCAATCTGCAGGCAGCCCTCAACTCTTTTGTGCCAAGCACCGGTTGAAGAACCATCGGTACGGCTTTGTGGAAACTGAATCACTAAACCCCAAGCCCTGAACCTACACCCACAGTCTCAACACCCACAAACCCAAACACCCCCCACAGAAATAGGTCCCTAAACCCTAAACCCTAAACCCGAGACCTCTTCTTCAGAACATTGTAGCACGTGAAGGCCACGATGTTGCCCAGGACCGCACCTGAAAGTCAGCTTCCGATGTCAACATATGGGTGGTTGTCAAAATNNGATCCCTATTATGGTAACTTATGGGTAGTTGTCAAAATGATGGTCCCTTTTGGGGTACCCTAAATAATAGGTGCCGTATTATAATAAGGACCCAAAAAGGGACCATAATTTTGACAACCACCCATATGTAAACATGAGCGGAGAAAACCTGGGTTCTTGTTAAGGGATTTAATTTAAGTTACCATAATAAGGAAACCATATTATTTACTATAGATCCCTATTATGGTAACTTATTAACATGAGCGGAGAAAACCTGGGTTCTTGTTAAGGGATTTAATTTAAGGTACCATAATAAGGAAACCATATTATTTACTATAGATCCCTATTATGGTAACTTATGGGTAGTTGTCAAAATGATGGTCCCTTTTGGGGTACCCTAAATAATAGGTGCCGTATTATAATAAGGACCCAAAAAG